CACACACACACACACACACACACACATATATATATATAAATATAATTATAACTATACGTATATTTTTCCTATTGGGTTTACAGGGACTGGATATTTCTCCCGACATCGTACCTATTTTAACATTTACCGGTGTACTGGTAATTTTACTTTACCCAGCTCCAAAAAAAGACACAATTATTCACTGTTTAATTTTCTTCTTCCTCTCTTTAACAATTTGCAAATGAAATGATTTTAAAATCAGGGATACATTACAACTTTTGCACTGGGCATGGGAGGATTACCGTGGGTTATAATGTCTGAGGTAAGTAATTATTTAATTTACCAAACTATTAAAAATGTAAAGTTCTTGACAAATTAAAAAATTAATTATACACTATGATTTAATTTTATATGATTGAAATTAACGTACGATGTTTTTGCATATATACACGTTTGTGTGTGTGTGTGTATATATATATATATATATATATATATATATATATATATCAGATATTTCCCATCAATGTGAAAGTGTCAGCTGGGAGTTTGGTGACATTTACCAACTGGTCTATTGGTTGGATTATCACTTACACTTTCAATTTCATGATGGAATGGAGCTCTTCAGGTCATCATCTCACCCACACCCACCTACTTTTACCGTATATATATATATATATATATATATTTACTTTTACCATACGAGGTAAAACTGTAAATTTTTTCGGTGGGTTTTGCAGGAACTTTCTTCTTCTTCTCTGGGATTTGTGCGGTAACAATTCTGTTTGTGTGGATGTTGGTGCCGGAGACCAAAGGAAGAACATTGGAAGAAATACAAGCTTCGTTAACCCATCTTTTGCAATGATCCCATAGATATACACGACAAATTAAAGCAAGCAAATTGTTTATATGTATATAAATATATATATATATATATATTGGTATGTGTATTTTTTTCAATCACGCCCCAATTTTTATTTAATAATTTGTTTTACTTCGTTATAAATTATAATAGAATTATATATGTATTACTTATAAATGTTATAGGATGCAAAGCTTTGTTTATCACTTAATTTAAAATATATATTGAAATAATCTTCAAACAATTGAATTTTTTCTCTTAATTAAGAATCTTGTCATGATCAAATTTTAATTGTAACCAGAATTAGGTCGACTCCACCTCTAATTACATTTTAATTAAGAATCATATCATAAAAAATAAATTTCAAACTCGTTATAGACATCTAAAAACCTACCTAAAATAAAATAATGTTACATTTAAATAATCACACACACACACACACACACACACACATATATATATATGTATATGTTTGATATTCAACGTTGTTGGTTTCGTAGGTAACACTTTTCTTTCGCTATACGTCTTACGTGTGGACTGCTTAATTTGTTGTAAGTCGTAAGTTGAGCTAACTTTGTGAATAAGGTTGTCATTCATTGCTTAAGCTGATTAATCAACTAATTAATTAGTTAATTAAACACTAATGATGATTAAGTTAAGTAATTATTCTATACATACACGCTTCCTTCATTCCAACCTTTATGTTGGAAACAAGACATGTCGTTAACTTTTTAGGGTTCGTCGTGGATGTTTCTCCTTAATTCTTCTTTTGATGTCAAACTTTTGAAAATGTTTTTTTAATTGAATTATTTAAAATTTTAATATTATAAGTCAAATATTTTCAGAAATTTTACGTGTTTGGCGGTGCACAACACATACGTATATGTTTATATAATTTGTTTGTTATTAAGCGAAATTTCTTGCTAATTTGTTGCCAAATCTTTTAAATAATTAAAAAAAAAATTGGGTAGATTAAATTAGTTAATTATGATAATTAATAATAATCATTAAACGGGTTTATTTTTGTTTTTATTAGATTATAATAATGTTTTTCAAATGCAGTTGATAATTGGAATTATCATTTGGACTTTAATTTTTCTTTTATTTGGTCATTATGATATCATAATTATAATATATATATATATATATATATATATATAACATGTATTTATTATTAAATTATTTATTGTAATAAATCGTTAATAATTTTGTTATCCGGCCTGAATGAAGCAGGCCGACCCAACCCACACCGGAACACCAAAACGCACCGTTTCACTGAAGGGTGATCCGGTGCGTTCGGGCTCAGCTGAGCTCGGGGACAGAACAGCCCTATTATGCTCTCCTCTCCGTCGCCGCCGATAAAACAGCAAAATCCTCCAATTTTTTCTCTGTTTCTCGTGTTCTTTCTTGCAGGTAAACACGTGCCCGCTTCATTCAGCCGCTGCAGCGAAGAGATTCCTCTCCGTTCACCCGCTTCCGCGCCTTCCACCGTCACCGAACACCCCCCGCGCATTTTCCTTCACTTTTTATGCTGATCATTTAGATTTTGGACGGCTTAGTCGGTGAATATCATTTTCTTTCAAATTTAGTTTATTGGGTGGGCTCAAATAATTTGGGCTATTCGTTTGATTGTGGGCCCACTGCCTCCACTTTGGGCCCACATACATAACGCAAAGAGTTGGACTCCCAGTAAAATAATTTATTTAGATTTGGATCCAATGTTGTAAAATGACAATTTTAACCTGCAAATATTTTTAACTGCTAGAAAATTTATCACAGGTATATGATGAACCTGGCCGGTAATACGTCTAAGTACAGTCGTCAGTAACATTTTCTCTCTCTCTCTCTCTCTCTCTATATATATATATATATATATATGTACATGTATGTATATTTGTATACATAATTAATTACCAACAAAATATAAGGTACCAAACAGCAGACGAAGAACGTGGGCCAATGTGATTAAAGTACTGCGAGATTATTATTTAATTATTTATAAATCATTTTTTATATACAACTCAACATAGCATGTGACAATTTCTCAAATTTTTAAAAACAGTTTTTAAATATATAATTAAAATTAATTTAAGTGTTCTATACACACACACACACACATATATATATATATGTAATTTCTCAGGTAGGGTACGCTTAAAATAATAATTTAATTATTTTGATCGTTAGTAACTACTAATTATATCATAAATACTTTTAAATATAAAATAGAATTAATTCAACAATGTACATAATAATTATTTAGTTAATCATTATCTAATTAAAATTCGTATAATTTGATTACTAATTCTTTTAAAGGTAATTAATTTATGTATAATTAAGTATTTAACTATAGAGAATAAATAATGTGTTAATATTAGTTATATACACATACATATATATGTATATATGGGAGATTCACAATCACGTGTGAGGAAAATCTTGGATGTGAAGCGTGGTTGTTTGTCTGTGGTGGGTGACTGTACTTGAAAGAATATAATTTTTGAAACGTGACATTAAATTTTTACATGCTATATTTAATTATTTGAAGTAATTTTTGATGGGTTTTATCATATAATACATATATATATATATATACAGTGAAAATTGTTATCTTGAAAGACCAGACTTAATTACATTATTCCTCGTATGATTTTCATATAATATACAATATACAGTATAAATGTTTTAAGTATCATAAAAAAAAAGTCACGTTACTTTTTTAAAATTATGAATTTAATTACATATTATTCAATTAATTGACCATAATACGATCGTTAATTAATTAATTAATTAGTGAATCTTAATAAGATATAATCCGTCCAAACATATTCTTCCATGTACATGACATGCTTCTATGTGTCAGTAACAGCGAAGTAGGTTGCAAATTACAATTAATACTAAACATTATATTATTCATGTATTATTTCACATGAAATTCTATACATATATACAATATTTTTATTTTCTTAATCCTATATATATATATATTAATTAATCCTATATATATGCCAAAAACTTGATGAACCACCGACTCTTTCCAATGGGGATTATAATAATTACTATCTTGCTAAAAAAAAAAAAGAACGGAGTATTGAGATTAAGCAAGTAATTAAATGCTAAACCTAAAATTAACATATAATTAATTACGAGTTTTTTTTTGTTTGAACTTGAAAATGGTTGGATTAGCTCATACATATCGAATATATTCTCAGAGCAGACTATGAAGTATAATATTATATATATATATATATATAAGTATTCATAAGTCAGAAAAGGACGACTGTTTTAATTTAACTTTAAACCTGCAAATCTGGCAACACCCATGCCCTTTCGCTCAGCAATTGCCCTAACGTGGGAAGGATAACTGTACCATTACAATATGTTTGTCGGCTGTCTTGAAAATATATATTGACATATCGATAATACTATATGTATATGTGTATAAAGAAATACATATATATATATATATACAAATATAAAATTATCTTTCAACTACTAATTGCATTGAAAAAAACGTGATTGAAAAAAATCAATGATTGAACTCAGTTAGTGGCAGTAAAACCATCTGGGTTGGTGGGTCCTTACGAATCCAGAATATTATTCACCGAGATTAATTTTTGATTATACAAACATCACTAATCAAATAGATACACACACACACACATATATATATGTGTGTATATATATATATATATATAAACTATAAAATTCAAATGTTACTTGTTTCTGACAGTGTAACCAAAATTGGAAATCAAATCTTTGAAGTCTTGTATATTTTTAAATAAATGATAGAGACATAGTTATTCAAAAGTAAAATGATTAATTACTACGTGGTTAATAGTTAATCTTGATTAATTACTATATGGGTAATAGTTAATCTTGATGAAGCAATAATGATGGACGATAAAAACACGAAGATCACATCGAATCATCATGTTACGAGTTATCATGTAAGAAGACAATGGTGGACACGAGAGTGATATTATAATAATATTCAAAAACATATATTAAAATATAATCAACTTGATGCTGTAATTGGATGCACAAATTCTCTTCTCTAATTTGATAAAGTTCGACCATGTCACTCTCCGACCTTACACCTCCTGCCCTCTCTCTCTCTCTCTCTCTCTCTTTCTATATATATATATCTCTCTGTGTGTGTGTGTGCATTTAAAGCAACATGAAAAGAGTAAAGCAACTTTAATGGAGTGAAATTAAGCAAGGGAACAAGTGTAGGGGTATCTTTTTCAGGATTTTCTTCTTTACTCTCTGTTTCACAAAAGAAGAAACTAAGAGAAGAAGCAGAAGAAGAAGATGGAAGAAAACATGGAAGCTGGACTTCTGAAGAAACCCCTTCTTCTCAATGATCAGACAAAGCCAAGTACTACCGAGAATGTTCATGAGCAGAACGGCAATGGCGGCGGCGACTGTCGTGTCACACCTCTTGTTGTTCTCAGCACCTCCGCTGCTGTCTTTGGCTCCTTCGTCTTTGGCTGCTCTGTAAGTACTTACATACCCAGATATACATCTATATATATATACACGCACACACACACACACACACACATATATGTATGTATGTATGAGAGTGAGAGTAACAGCCAACCCTTCATGTGGGTTACTTATAATTATGTTTTTGCAGGTGGGTTATTCATCAGTTACTCAATCTGCAATCATGGAAGAGTTGGGTCTCTCTGTGGCAGCAGTAAGTCTAATAAACATATATAAACACACGTACGTATGCCGATATGTATATAGAGATACGAATCGGTCGATGAATTAACGTCATGTTTTTGTTTTCACAGTACTCTGTTTTCGGATCAATTATGACATTTGGAGGTATGATAGGTGCAGTAATTAGTGGAAAGATAGCTGACTTACTTGGACGAAGACAGGTTAATTTCTTAAAAAGTTCAAAATTATGTATACATTATATATATATATATATATATATATAAACACCATCGAAATTATAAATACATAATTAATTTCTTCTGTACTAATTTAATCTTTTATTATAAACAGACAATGTGGTTCACCGAAATATTCTGTATTTTTGGGTGGCTCGCAATAGCATTTGCAAAGGTACATATACACAAATATAATATTCCAGAAATTCCCAATTTCTAAAATTTTTTCCAAAGATACAGCATAATAATCTTATGTATTTATTGGACGAACTTATATAACATTGTTTATACAGTTTTATAATATATAATATATATAAATTTGGATTCTAACAATTACTGGGAACATGTTTTCTTTTTTTTCGATTTCTTTTATAGGATGCATGGTGGCTGGATCTAGGAAGATTATCCTTGGGTATTGGAGTTGGCCTCTTTAGTTATGTGGTAATTATATAAAAACAAGTTCAGTACTTGTTTTTGAAATATTAATATATATATATGTATATAATATACTGTTTGGCAAACAGATACCGGTGTATATTGCAGAAATAACACCCAAGACTTGCCGAGGAGGATTTACATTTGCTAATCAGGTACTTAAAAAAATAATTAAGCTTTTGAAAGATAATCTAATAGTTAATTATAATTCCATACATGAAGATAATCTCTTAATTTTACACACACATAAATATTGTACAGCTGATGATGAATTGTGGGATTTCACTCGTGTATATTCTGGGCAATATCATTCTCTGGCGCACCCTAGCCCTACTATGTACTTTCTTTTTCTTCTCTATATATATATATATATATATAGATATGAGCACATACATATATATATGAATAACTTTAAATCTAAGAACATAGAATTCAGAGCTAGTGAACTGAGAATACTCTTTGTTAATTAGTGGTTGATTATGTGTTTGATCAGGTGTTGTGCCATGTTTCCTGCAAGTCATTTGTTTGTTTTTTATTCCAGAGTCTCCTAGATGGTTGGTAAGTTCATTTCAATGAATTAGATATATATATATATATATACATATATATATATATATTGACACGATATGTATTTGTAAGTGACAAGTGGTTAATAAATTATTTGCAGGCCCAAACATGGCCGAGAGAAAGAGTTCAAGGCTGCTTTGCAGCGGCTTAGAGGAAAGAATGCTGATATTTCTGAAGAAGCATTTGCTATCAAAGTAATTTTTCTCAACTTCTAACTTTCTCTTTAGGTTCTGTTTGGGAGAACGGAAAAAAAAAAAAAAAAAAACAAAAAAAGAAGAAGAGGAATTTAGTAGTCAAGACAAAATATAATTAGTTGGTTATTATTCAAAAGTAAAACATGATTAGTGATTTTTTAGTTAAAATATTCGTATTTTACTTAAACGTCACAAATTTAAAATCTACTTAAAATATAGAATTTATTATTTTGACGGAAGATAAGAATCATCAAATTGGATTAGGTCTCAGTAAACCTGTTACGTTTGCGGACGAAATGAACGTTATGTAGCGGATAGGTTTCTAGACTCGAATTTAACGACCATTGCAATTTTTAATTTGTTATTGTTTTCTCTTTGTTTGAAGGAAACTGCGGAAACCCTAGAGATAAATCAGTCGAAATTTGGATTTTTCGAGTTGTTCGAGAGGAGATACGCTCTCTCACTTGTTGTAAGTAATGTAATGGTAAATTAGATTTGACTTAATCTCTCTTTTCTCTAATTTTCTTTTGATCTTTGTATTGGTGTAGGTTGGAGTTGGACTTATGTTTCTGCAACAATTATCAGGCTGCTCTGGAATTTCATATTACTCTGGCATCATCTTAACCAAAGCTGGTAATTTAATTAATCTAAACTGCCACTGTAATTAAACCTAATTAACTTAACTTAATCATAGAAATAATCATCATTAATTTTAACGTTTCCTTAACAGGGTTTTCAAGTAGCATTGGAACAACAGCATTAGCCATCATCCTGGTACTGAATCACCCTTAATTTTTTTTTTTTTTTTTTTTCTGGGTTTAATCCGGTATTATTTCAATTAGTAATTATTTAAATTAAATTTCTTGATTAGCTATCTAATTAATTACAAAATTTTTCATGTTGCAGATACCAAAAGCTTTAATGGGTTTAATTATTGTGGATAAAATGGGAAGAAGACCGCTTCTGATGGTAAAAAATATTTACAATATTGTAAAATCACGAATATTTCATATATTAAAATTAAATATATATATATATATATTATTAACTTAAACTTCATACATAATTTCAGATTTCTGCAGCATTAATGTGCTTGTGTTCCCTCCTAGTTGGGTTCTCATTTTGGATGCAGGTATGCAATATATATATATATATATATACATATTTGGAAGTACTCTTTAATTATTTAATGAATATTTTTTCCCACTATGAACAGGGGCTCCACTACATGAAAGAGCTGACTCCTATTTTAGCATTCATTGGCTTAGTGGTATTTAATCCATTAATTAATTAACTAATTATAATTAAGTAGCGAAATTAATTAACATAATTTGTTTTTGGGTTAATGATTAGTCTTTTATTTATTGTAACGTACAGGGTTATATTACAGCTAATGCAATAGGCATGGGAGGGTTACCGTGGGTTATAATGTCGGAGGTAATTTAATTTAATTTAATTAAAGTTATAAGTTGATTTTGAGTTAATTAATTAATTAGAAATTAATTACGACATTAATTAATCTGTTTCAGATATTTCCGATGAACGTGAAAGCTTCAGCTGGGAGCCTGGTGACCTTAGCCAATTGGTCCACCGGTTGGCTTGTTACCTATACGTTTAATTTTATGTTACAATGGAGCCCTATAGGTATTTATATATACATATATATGTATTAGTTAAAAATTAATAATTTAATTCATGGGTTATAAAATTGGATTAAGCTAATTGTAGAAATTTAAAAAAATTTGCAGGAACATTTTATACTTTTGCTGGAATATCAGGTGCAACCATTGTGTTCATATGGACACTTGTACCAGAGACAAAAGGACGAACTCTAGAAGAAATACATGCATCTTTTTCAAATATTGTTCGATGATAATACTAAATTATGTATACTAATTACTGCGAATTCAAATATAGTGATTGTATATATAATATAAT